TCATGCCAGCCGTCTGTGCCTCCCAGTCCCTCGGATGCCCCAGCCCTTCTGCTTGGCAGGGAGGAGTGCTCACTTCAGCTGGCGCAGGAAGCCCAGCAGGGCCCGGTGGAAGTCCTCTGGCTTGTCCAGGTAGCAGGCATGGCCAGCACCAGACAGCACGGCCACACGGTGCTTAGGGAGGTGCTGGAGGTTCTGCAGGGCCTGGGGAGCCAGGCCAGTGTCATGGTCACCATACAGGATCAGGGTGGGTGTCTTTGTAAGGGGAGAGAGAAAACAAGAGCAGCTGTCAGAGAGGTAAATGTCCACCACACTCCCCCTGGGCTGTGCCCACCTCCATCCATCACCACATCACCACAGGGGGCTGCAAAGCTGAGGGGAGGCAGGTGCCAGCACCCCCATGAGCTGGGTGTCATAGGTCCCCCTCACTCACCCCAAAATAGTGCCACCCTCCACATCACCCTGCAGCCAGCTGGCCCACAAGGCTCGCCAATACCCAGGACAGGCCCCAAGAGCCCAAAAACCCACCTGGACTCGCCGGTACTGCTCGGCAGTGTAGTCCTTGGTGCCCACAGGTGCGATGGGCACAAAGCCGGCCAGCCGGTCCCCGTGTGCCATGAGGAAGGGCAGGGCAAAGCGGCCGCTCATGGAGGGGCTGATGAGAACAGGCTTCTGCAAGCCCAGCTCCTGCAGGACGTGGTCCAGGAAAGCCCTCCGGCCCTGTGCTGTCAGCGCGTTCTCCACTGGGGGTGAATCCCCGTAGCCTGGTATGGGGAAGAGGGCATGGGGTGGTCAGGGGGCATTGTGCAGCCTGCAATGGTCTCTCCTCACCAGGGTTCAATGGCTTAGCCAAAAATGGACGTTTGATCAAGCCCCAGGGTTGTAGAGTCACAGCCATCAATGGCCCAGGATACAGACAGATCCCAGGCACACTGCCTCTGGGATCACCCGCAGCTATCCAGAGCTCTCCCTAAGGAGATCCAGAGCCCAGCAGTGACTAAGCAAGGGACTGGAGCTGCCCAAAGAGATCAGCTAAGCACAGTGCCACGGTCCTACCGGGCAGGTCTATTGCAACGGCACGGTAGCCTTCTCCAGCAAGCAGCGCCAGTGTGCCCAAGGCCTCCCACGTCTTGGAGGTGAACGCCTGGCCGTGCAGGAACAGGACATCAGGCCTGCGTGCGGGAAGACAGGCGGGAAGGGGCTCAGGAAGGCTGCCGTGCCTGCGGGGGGCTGGTGAAGACCGGCCCCGGGGCCTGCCACGCCCCAGCTGCCGGCGGGCTGCCCGACCTCCCTGACCCACCTCCCGGGGCCCACAGCCGCTGCGGGCACCTCCCTGTAGAACACGGGGGGCTCTCCCGCAGCCATCCCCGCCCGCACGGTGCCGTTGGCCGCCCGCCAAGCCCGCCTGCCCTCGTCAGGCCGCGAGCGCCGGGCGGCCGGGAGCCACAGGTACAGGAGCAAAGTGAGCAGCGCCCCGAGCAGCAGCAGCCCCAGGCGGCTGCGGGCAAGCAGCATCTCCCCTCCCGCTGGAGGAGAGCGGCAGCGCGGGGCTGCGGGACCCCAGCCCTGCTGCTGCGGGGAACAGGTCCCGGTCCCCGCCGCTCTGCTCAGCTCCGGCCCAGCCCGAGCCCCGCCCGGCCCCGCCGCCCCCGGCCCGCCGCGCACGGCGCCGCTGCGCCCTCGGGCCCCGCCTGGCGGCAGCGCGCAGCACTGCAGCCCCGAAGGACAGAGCGGCCGGGGCCCGAGCGGGGCCCGGCCCGGGGAATCGCTGGGCTCGGCCGGGGCTCGGCCCAGCTCGGCAGAGCTCGGCAGGACTCGGCAATGTTCGTCAAGGGCTCGGCGGCTCTCGCCGCAGCTCGGGCGGGGCTCGGAACGCGCTCGGTACTGCACGGCAGAGCTCGGGTTCTGCTCCACAGCGCTCGGCCTGGCTCGGTAGAGTCCGGGTAGGGCTCAGTTTCGCTCGGCAATACTCGGCTTTGCTCGGGAAAGCTCGGCTCCGCCCGGCGGGGCAGGGCCATGGCGGTGCCGGGGGCCGCCCCGGACCTGGCGCTCCAGGGCGCGGTGCCGCCGTTCTCTCGCCCGGCCCCCCGCTCTTTGGCCCCGGGGCGCGGCACCCCGAGTCCCGTGGTGCGGCGGGGAGGAGACGAGCGGCGGCCGGCCCCGTGTGCGGAGCAGCAGGTAAGGGCTGCAGGCCCAGCGACGGACGGGGAAACTGAGGCAGGGGCGGGCCCGTGAGGCCGCCTGGCGCATCAGTGACCCCGGTGGTGCCACCACAGTGAAGATGATGCCGGTGTGACCCCTCAGAGCCCTTTTGCCTTGCTGCCACCACCGGGCCCGGCATTGGCAGAAGGCACATCAGCCGTCCCCTTCCCACCTCTGCCCCACGTTACAGCCCCCCGGCCCGCAGGCATGGCCGCCCCGCGGATCACCGAGAGCACCGTCACCGTGCAGGGACAGAGCCTCTTCTACCGCCAGGCTGACCCGGCACAGGCAGCGCCACGGCTGACCGTGCTGCTGCTGCACGGCATCCGCTTCTCCTCCGAAACCTGGCTGCAGCTGGGGACACTGGCCACGCTGGCCGAGAACGGCTACCGAGCTGTGGCCATCGACCTGCCGGGTAAGGCGTGGAGTCAGGCAGGGTAGGCACCGGTTTGTGGGGCCAGGATGGCAACCCCAGTGTCATGCTGGGCTGTGCTGTGCTGTGCTGTGCTGGCTTCTCCCCGTCATTGAGGCGGTGTGGAGCCTGACAGGGCCACTTGTGTCTCGCATGATTCAGGGCTGGGCCGCTCGAAGGACGCCGTGGCCCCAGCATCTGTGGGCCAGCCAGCACCGGCGGCGTTCCTGAAGGCGGTTTCGGAGGCTCTGCACCTGGGTCCAGCTGTGGTGATCAGCCCATCGCTCAGTGGCATGTACTCGCTGCCCTTCCTCTTAGAGCACAGCCAGCTGTTCAAGGCCTATGTACCTGTGGCACCCATCTGCACCGAGAAATTCACAGCGGAGCAGTATGCCCAGATCAAAGTACGGCCTGGAAGGGCACTTGGGGGAGGAGATGGGGCAGAGGGGACCCTGGCACCAGGATTGAGCAGGGGAAAGGCCAAACAGGCCAGAAACCCTGTTGCCACTGACAGAGGAGAACCTGATGGTGAAGGAATGTAAATGTGGGGTACTGGGAGGTAAAGAAGGGTTAACTGGAGACTCAGGAGCATGAGCTTCTGTTTCCCTTTCTCATACTGGGTGGGGGAGAAGGGCAAGTGACTCCCCTCCAGGGTTTCCCTGGCAAAGAGGAGCAGGTGCCTGTGTGACGCTCAAAGGCTCAGGCTGCTTTCCCCCTCTACAGACCCCCACGCTGATCGTGTATGGGGACCAGGATGTAGAGCTGGGGCAGACCAGCCTGAACAACCTGCAGCACCTCCCTGAGCACCAGGTGCTGATGCTGCAGGGTGCAGGACACGCCTGCTACCTGGACAAGCCCAATGAGTGGCACCGTGGACTCCTGGCTTTCCTGCAGCAGCTGAAGTGAGCAGGAAGGAACCACAGGGCAGGGGGATGTGGCCAGCCCACCCACCCCTCTGCCTGCACATTCACCCTTGTGCCAACCCAGGTGCTCAGCTGGCACTCACACTGCACTGGCCCACACCAGCACCCACCTCTCTTGAGACCAAATAAAACCCTAAGCTCTGCCACTGCTTTCCTGCCACCTTCATCCTGCTTCTTTTCCACCTTTCCCACCTCCCTCCCCCATCCCTACTTCCATGGCTGCTGTCCCACACAGGTTTGGGGGTGACAGCAGAGAAGATGCAGCCAGTGAGGGGTGGTGCAATTGGGGATTGTGGATGGGTGAGTGCCAGCCTCACTGGAGCCCACCCATCACTCCTGATGGGATCCCCATGAACATCAGGGGGTGCCCAGGGAGCCCTGGGGCTGTGTTCAGGGACAGGTAGGTCCCCCAAGGTAGTGACATCTGTGTCCCCAGCCAGCCAGCCTGCTCTTCATCCTCCTCTTCCTCCTCCTACCCCTCCTGGCATGCACCCAAGTCCAGAGTAATCCACAGGGGCTTAAAAGGGAGCTGCCAGCCCTGGGAGGCTCCTGCCCACGGCAGCATCCACCCAGCACCCTGGGGAGATGGGGGGCGATTTACCCAAGGAATGGCTGCCATGAACAGATGAGGGGGCCAGCAGGGAGGCCTGACAGACAAGGGACAAGACCCCTGCCTGCCACCTGCCTCCCCTGCCTTTGGTGCTGCTGCACCGGGCACTTGGGGGCACAGATGGAGCTGGCAGCAGGGTGCCCCCCCCAGTGCCCCCCCTTCTCCAAGCTTGCCTGGGCTTTAGCTGCTTACGCCAGGGCCCAGGAGGATTTAGTGGGGGAGGTAAGGGGGGGGCACTTTTCTGTGGGTGCAGGATGCCCGTGTGGGGGACACAAGGCAGTGCCAAGGGTGCAGGAGCTGGTCTTGTCCTGGCAGGATCCCTGTCTGGAGCATCCCTGACCCCTCCGGTGGCTCAGGTCCCCTGTTGCTGTCCCGACCCCCCCCATACAGGGGTGCCTCCTGCCCCTGCAGGCACCACCTCACAGCAGCAGCCCGGGGTGCCAGCGGGCCTTGGGGTGCCAGCTGCCCCATCCCCGCCCGCTCCGGTGTCCTTGAGCCCTCGAGCCCTGCCAGCTGATCGGCTTCCAGGAAAAAAACCCGCAATTACAAAGAGGGGCGATGTGTGAGCCAAAGGGAGGGGGGCCGGGGGGGCCAGGAATGTCCCCAGCGGTGGCAGATGGCCTTACCCAGGGTGCATTGTTCCTTTTAGTGTCTCTTATCCGCTGTAATAGGATCCCGGAGGGAGGGATGTGGGAGAGGGGAAGAGCGAGGGGGGCCCCGGCGTGGACCGGGGTGGGGGCCGGGGCTGCCAGCTTGGCCCTGGCCTGTCAAGCGGCTCATTGTTCCTGCCCCGGGTGTCACTGGGCGCCGCCGGGGACAATGTGGCACTGAGAGGGGCGGCCGGCGGCGGAGGGACGAGGCGCACGGAAAGGTACCCGCCAGGCCCACTCCGCGGGGACCGGGGGGCTTGGGGCTCCCGGGAGGGCGAGAAGAGAGAGGTTTGCCCAAGGGCGGGGTGCGGGCTTCCTGCTGTCGTCCCCCTCCCTTTGCCACCCGAAGGTGCCCCGCGGGACGGGCGGTGCCCGGCTTGGTGGCTGACCCAATGCCAGCCGTGGCAGGTGGCCTGTGCCCATCACCGGGGCCTTTGGCGTCCCTGCCTCACCCGGGGGGAGCCCCCTGCCCGCAGACCCCCCAGGCGCTGCCGTGGCCCTGCTGCGTTCCCCCGTCCCATCGCCAGCCCCATCCTTCTCCCGCCGGCGGGGTCTTTGTCCCTGGCGGATTCCTGCTGCCATTCATCCCCAGGGGGAATGGGGACCCCGGCCGGCTGCGCGTCCCCGCCGGCACCCCACACACCTCCGGGTGCCGCGGGCAGGCTGCATCCCTCCCCTGCGCCCCGGGAACGGGAATATTCCCCCTCTCCAGCCTCTCCACCTTCCTCCGGCCCGCGGTAACGGGGGGATGGAGACGGGGCGCTCACAGCGCGCCGGGGGTGCAGCACAGCACTGAGGGGCTGCGCCGCCGCCCCCCTCGCTACCCTGATGCAGGAGATGTGCCGTAGCGGTGACGAGTCCTGCCAGCACCTAAAATAGCCGCCCCCCCCCCGCCATGCCCGCGGACGCGGCCCCAGCCTCAACACGGGTGCTTTGTTTCAAAGCTGCTTGGCATCGCCCGGCTTGCCGGGAGCCAGCGGTGCCGCAGCCGCCCACCCGGGCCCGGACACACAGTAATTGTCCTCCTCCCAGGGGCCCTGGCCGCCCACGGCCACCCGGGCACAGGGTCCGGGGGCCCTGGGGTGCTCTGGGAGGGGACACGGTGCAGCGGCGTCAGTCAGCAGGCGTCATGCTGTGGTTTGGTTGGGGTGGTCCCCGTCAGGGAGCTTGCCTCAGTGGGGCTTTGTGCATGGGCATGGGGAAGGGAGGAGGAGAAAGAAGGTGGCTTGCATAGGCTGTGACACCACCCAGGCCACCTCTGTTCTCCCCACTCCAGCAAGCATCTGCAAACAGAACCTTATCCCACAGCCACGCTCCACATGCCTTGCCTCCTCCCCCTGTATCCATCCAGTTCCTGACTTTGTTTGGACCAGCCTGGAGGCAGCTCAGGCAGACACATAGCAGCGGCTCCCTTTTGGGACTGCAGGGTGCCCGTGGGATGCCATGGGGCCATGTGATCCTCGCCTGCCAGAGGAAGGCACAGTGCTGCCTCTGCCTCAGCTTGCCCGTTTCCCAGCCGTAGGGTATTCAAGCTGCAGATCTGGGGTGGGGTTAGCTGGGGCATCCCCCCTTTCTGAAGACCACCGTGTCCCACAGGCTCATCTCGCCCTTCCGCCATGGCATCGCCGGACGGAGCCAGTGGCGTGGGCGGCAGTCCTGAGGAGACAGAGCTCAGCATCACCCTGACCCTCCGCATGCTCATGCATGGCAAGGTAATGGCAGGGGGCCCCGTGCCACTGAGGGGTCAGTGATGCCTGGGGTGAGGGGCCATGCTGGGCCTCCAGCTCCTCACCGTGCCCTGTTTCCTGTGCCCTGTTTCCTTCCCATGCTCACAGTCTCCCCTGGGAATAGCATTCCCAGAAGGATTTCTTTTCCCATCCTAAGCCAGGGAGGGGCACATCCCCATTCCCCAGTCTCACTAGTTAAGTCACCCAGTGGCCCTGGGGCAGGGTCTGCCTGTTGCCAGGCTGTGGGCAGAGGAGGGATGTGGCAGGCAGGGAGCCACCTCCTGACAGTGCCACTCTTCTCTGCCTTTTCAGGAGATTGGCAGCATCATCGGCAAGGTAAGATTTGGGGTCCTGTGTGTTGCAAGCACTTGGCTCCCCTGGACCTGACCACCCACCCTATTCCTTTACCTGCAGAAAGGAGAGACCGTGAAGAGGATACGAGAGCAGGTAAGGGCATGCTGGTGGGCTGCAGGTCCTGCTGCCTGTCTGCCTGTACCTGGCAGCTCCCATGTGCCTGCCCCCCTAAATCCCAGCTGGAACCAGGGAAAACAAAGCAGCACCCCAGGAAATGCCGCCTGGGGCAGGTGGGAAGGGCAAGGCTCAGGCTCGAAGGCATTGGTCTCCCCCTATGAGACTATCCCTGGGGGAAGTCATGAAGCACCTAACGGGGTGTGGCACTGTCCCCAGAGCACTGCACGCATCACTATCTCAGAAGGGTCCTGCCCTGAGCGCATCACCACGATCACCGGCTCCACCGACGCTGTCTTCCGTGCTGTCTCCATGATCGCCTTCAAGCTGGAGGAGGTAGACAGCCCTCCTAAATCCCTGCCAGGTGCCCCCACACCTGCGGGATCCTGGGGGTCTGACTCTGCATCCCACATCCCTCACAGGACCTGGGAGCGGGCGGCGATGGGGTGTCAGCGGGCAGAGCACCGGTGACCCTGCGCCTTGTCATCCCCGCCAGCCAATGCGGCTCCCTCATCGGCAAGGCTGGAGCTAAGATCCGGGAGATCCGGGAGGTGAGCCTGAGGGTAGCCTGGATGTGGGATCCCCTTTTCCCCCTGGGGGCACAGAGCCCTGGGTGTGGGGGCTGACACAGTCCTGTAGGGGCTGAGGGAGGTGATGCAGGAGAGGAAGCATCACCCTGCAGATCCTGCAGTGGTCCCTGGGGGCTCAGGAGGGGGACAGGGGAGGTGTGAAGTGCTGAGCCCTGGCAAGGACTGGTTGGGAAATGCCAACATCTCTCTGCTTCCTGCAGAGCACAGGGGCACAGGTGCAGGTGGCTGGTGACTTGCTGCCCAACTCCACTGAACGGGCTGTCACGGTCTCAGGGGTGCCAGACACCATCATCCAGTGTGTGAGGCAGATCTGCGCTGTCATCCTGGAGGTACCTGCCAAGCCCCATGCCCAGCCCAGGGGGCATCTGCTACCCACCTCGCCCTCCCCAAGGCTTCCCGTGCCCATCTGGACCCAAACACCAGGGTTCCCCTGTGTGGAAACCCATAGGAGCACCCTGCCTTTGTAGTGCTGGGGGCTGTGCTCAGCTTGCTGGGGGCATAAGGGGGCAGAGGGTCCTTGGGGCTACAGGGGCTTTCAGCTTCATCTCTCATCTCCTCCACCTCCTTCCTTCTGTCTCCAGTCGCCTCCGAAGGGGGCCACCATACCCTACCACCCTGGTCTCTCCCTGGGCACCATCCTGCTCTCTGCCAATCAGGTAAGAGGCCACAGCATCTCCTAGGGCATGACGTGGCCAGGAGGGAAGCCTCTACCAGCAAGGGGCAACTCTGGTGGGTGCAGGGTAGTCTCTCTGCCCCAGGGGGAGTGACCTGAGACAATGGTCTCCACCTGGCTCCCCACTGATGCCCCTTTTTTCTCTCCCCAGGGCTTCTCCATGCAGGGTCAGTACAGCGGGGTCTCTCCTGCCGAGGTGAGTCTGTCTCTGTGGCAATGGGGTCTGTGCCCACCAGGATGGCTGCTGGTGGGAATGCCTGTCTTGGGAGGCACTGGGGCACTGCTGATCTCTGCCATCACCCCTAACACCACCTTCCTCCTCTTTGCACTGTCTGGGCAGGTGACGAAGCTGCAGCAGCTGTCAGGGCATGCGCTTCCCTTCGCCCCCCTGGGCCATGCACCCACCATGGTGCCAGGTGAGCATCTCCCATGCTCCCCCAAGGCTGGGTGTGCCCCTCCTGATCCACACTGACACCTGACCCTGACGAAGGCGTTTCCCTCCTCTGCACCCTTTCCAGTCCCAGCCCTCCCAGCATGTCTACCTGCCCCTCCAGCACGACCTTGTCATGGTTTTCCTGGGGTCACTGCACCCATCAGTACTCCCCAGTCCTGCAGTGGGAGAGCACCAGCACCAAATTATGACTTGTGTCTCTGTCCTCTCCTCCCCTCCTCTCCCCAGCAATCCTTCAGGTTTGTCCCCAGAGCCACTCACAATCCCAGTATGGGGCTGGGGGAGGGGCACAGAGATACTGGAGTGCTGCCCCTTCATTGCTGACATCCGTGTCTCTCTCTCCAGGTCTGGATCCCAGCTCCCAGAGCAGCTCCCAGGAGTTCCTGGTGCCCAATGACGTATGTATTGCTCTGGGAATGATGAGGGGGACCACAGCTTATCCCCACCCAGATGTACCATCCCAGTGGCACTTTGCAGAGGCCACCCCCACTGACCCACACAGTGGAGGCTCTGCCAGAGCTTAGGAGCAGGAGGGAATAACTGGGGCAGAAGAAAGGGGAAACTGAAACACAGGACGGGGGAAAGAGTTTGCCAAGGAAAGGCCTTGGCATGTGGCACAATGCCAGCAAGAGGGTCTTGAGTGAGACCAAAAAGCAGGGTCTGCCCAAGGAAAGCAGTGTCCTGCCCTCCCAGTGCCTTCCACAGTTTCCCCTCCGAGGTGTAGGTGTCTGGGTGAGCCCCTTGGAGCTCCCTGCTTGGCAGGGCTGCCCTGGCTGCTCCTGGCTCAGCCCGTCCCTGCCCTTCCAGCTCATCGGCTGCATCATCGGCCGGCACGGCAGCAAGATCAGCGAGATCAGGCAGATGTCGGGTGCCCACATCAAGATTGGCAACCAGACCGAGGGCTCCAGTGAGCGGCACGTGACCATCACAGGGACCCCTGTCAGCATCACCCTGGCTCAGTACCTCATCACCGCCTGGTAGGTGTCAGCCTGGGGGGGACCCATGCTGGGTGCTAGCGAGGGGTGGCTTTTCACCAGCACTCCAAGGCAGTTTTGGAGGATCCACAGCATCCTCAGGTAGAATGAGCTGGGTGGTGCTTTGAGATCCTGGGGTGGTAGGTGCAGGACTCAAGACCCACCAGATTTGAGGCCCAGTTTTTTAATCCTGCTCAGTGGGATACGCAGGATGTGCCATGGATACATGTGCCAGAAGGAATGGGGTTCCTGCACCCTAAGCTTGTGGTGGGAGAACCACTCTGTCACCATGGTACTCACCATCATCCTTCTCTCTTGCTTCCCCAGCTTAGAGACTGCTAAATCTACCTCCCAGGTGCCACCAGGCCCTGGCTCCATGGACCTCGGCATGGGCTTCTCCCAGCCCCTCGCCCCAGGCTCCGGTGCAGCACTTCCCGCCGTCGCCCCAGCCCCCCCGGCCCTGCTGGGCACCCCCTATGCCATCTCCCTCTCCAACTTCATCGGCCTGAAGCCGGTGTCCTTCCTGGCACTGTCCCCATCCTCCGTGGCAGGTCCCAATGGTGGCACCACCACCTACACGACCAAGATCTCGGCGGCCAACGGCACCAAGAAAGCTGACCGGCAGAAGTTCTCGCCCTACTGAACCCCACTGGTGGGTGGGCCAGGGGGTCCAGGGTGCTACTCAGTAGCAGGGACACTTTCCCAACGCCCACCTTGACCTCAGCCTCTGCCAGCTGCCCCATGTCCCCCACCCCAGGGAAGGGAAGGGTCTTCCTGGTGGTGATGCTTGCTGGAGGAAGGGGCTGTTTTGTTGCCTGCTGCCCATCCCAGCAGCGCTGTGCTCCCCTCCCTGATTTTCTGCACACAGACCATGTGTCCTAGTATTGGGTGGGGAGGCTGTCCCTGCTGGCCTAGGGTCCCTTCTCCCAGTGCCCTGTGCTGGTGTGGGACCCTTACTTCCTGCTCCTCACCCTACCTCCCTTGCCATCCTGCTCATGCCCACACTCCATCTGGCACCCAAAAGCCAGGTCCCACTGGATGAGGACTGCCTGGCCTCTCCAGGAGTCCCCCTTCCACTGGCTCTGGTGGGGGCCCCTCCCTGGGCCACCCTGGGGCAATCGCCTCCCAGCAACCCCATCCAAGAGCCAGTCCCTGCTGGCTTGGAAATGCTGTATATATATGAGTCTATATTTTTTCCTCCTTTGTAACTTATCAATGGTTTAATAAAAAGATAAAATTTACAAGAAAATAACAATAATAATAATAATAATAATAATAATAATAATAATAATAATAATAATTATATTCCCTACCCTGGGTGGAGACTTCCCCCAGAGCAGGGGTGGTCCCAGCTCCTGGGTACTTGGGTGGTGGCTGGAAGGGCATCCCTGTGTCTAAGGGGGGGATGCTGGCCTTCAGCCCCATCTCTCTGAGGGTCTTCCTGGAGCCCCTCCCTGCCACAGGGGAGTTAAGAGAGGCCATAAGGCAGTTTTCCCTCAGACCTGCAGTTACTATTGGAGTAGGACACCTCCAACCCACCATGCCAACACCATCCCTGGGACCTTTGTGGGAGGGCAGCGGGTGACGTACCCCTGCAGCATTCCCCAGAAGGGTCCAGTCCCCTTTCAAGCAGGGAGGACCCTATGAGAGTGTCTCTAAGCCCTTCAAAAACAGTGAGACTGAAGAGGAACAGCAGGTCCTGATTCCCTCTGGCTGCTGCTGCCCTGGGGCAGCCCACACAGCCACCCCCCCACCACCCTGTGTCACCATGTCCAGCCCAGCGTGCCCTTGGCTAGCAGCCCAAATTGGCTGGCACCTGGCACTGCTGACCAGGCAGCTGTGTCCATAAACAGCCTGGCATGAGCCCCCAGACAGCCAGTTCCCCCCCAGAGGGGTGATCACTGCCAGCTGAGAGGGACAGAGGGCATGGCCAGGCGTGGCCACGGGCATTGTGTGCTGCCATGCCAGCAGGAAAAGCAGTGACACACCCAGAGCCAGCCCTGTGGGTGTGTCCCCCTGATCAGTGTCACAGGGAGCAGAAGCTGCTCCACGCAGGCGTTAGTTTTGGGTTAAACAGCCAAGGATGGAATCTCCGTGTCTGCCATCCAGGCTCGCAGGGGCTCGGGGCCCTGGTGTTACTGGTGTTAGTGGCATTAGCTGGAACGTTGCTCCTGGATAGGGTACAAGGGACATCAGCCCTTCCCCGCTGGTCAGGCTGCTCCCACCGGGGCAATGGAGATGGGGGTGTCCCATCCCTGGCCCTGCACAGGAGCCCCCTGGCACTCCATGTCCTGAAGAGAGCCCATCCCTGGAACCGGGCTGTGCTGCTGGAGCCAGAGACAATTCCAGCCTGCAGAAGAGAGATGTGACTTCCTCAGATCTGCTACCTTCTCCCAGCGGAGAAACCACCTTTTACCATAAGCTCAGAGAAGAGGCAAAACCTGCACAAGGACTCCTTCGAATCCAAGAGATTGGGTCCAAGCAGGTCTGATGGGTCCCTGGCAGGTCTCCTGCCCAGCACAGTGGGACAGAGCCTCCTTCTCAGCTGCTCTCTTCGGGGACTTGACCTGGGGTGGGGAAGCCCGTTGTGGTCTGGTCCAGCCTGTTCCTGGGGCTGGGGCTGATGCAGCTGGTGTGAGTCTCCAGTGTGCATGTTGCTCTCTGGAGGAACTGCAAGAAGTTTTCCTGAACAGAAGCCTCTGAGATGGAAAGACAGAGGTCCTGACCAAGTGGATGGTTTAGACATCTGCGACGGAGCCGGGCCAGCTCCTCACGTATTTGGCGGTTCAGCAACCCGTAGAAGAAAGGATTAACGGCAAAGGAGGAGTAGGCAATCCAGGTGACCACCATCTCCCCGTGCCCACCACCCACAGTGCCAACAGCGACAGAGGAGTGCAAGTGGAAAGCAAAGAAAGGCAGCCAGCAGCACAAGAATTGTCCCACAATGAGGACCAAGGTGAGGATGGCCTTGTTGCTTCCTAGAAGGCGATCTGGGATCAGCCTGGGCAGCATCAGGATCCTGGCAGTGAGGATGGTCACTTGGCTGGCGATGGAGTCACATCGGTGTCTGGGTGCAACTGCCTGTGCTGGCACAGGTGCCTGCTGCAGGGACGCAGTCCGGGCCACGCGGTAGATGCTGGAGTAGACAGCGAGGATGATGATGGTGGGCAGAATAAAGCAGGTGATGCTGAAGAGGATCACAAAAACCTTCTTGTGGGCCCCGGGGCTCCAGTAGACTGTGCAGTGGCTGGCGCTGGTGGCCCCATTGCCATGAGGCCACGCCACTAGTGCCAAGACAGTGGTGAGAACAGACTTGACCCAAATGAAAACTACTCCAGCCACTGCCAGCCTGATGGTCATCTTGACCTCATACCTCAAGGGGTGGACGATGTAGTAGTACCGCTCCACGCTGATGATACAGATGGTGAGAATGGAGGCACTGATGAAGCAGATGTTCAGGAATATCACGGCCTTGCACTCAGCAATGCTGTAGATAACCCAGTTGAAACAGGTGGAGCTGGAGATGATCCCCAGGGGCATGAGGAAAATAGCTGAGAGGAGATTGACCACACAGAGGTGGCAGACAAAGATGAACTTCCTGAAAAGGGGTGTTTTGAGGATGATGACCATCACCACGATGTTGGCCACCAGGGCGGTGAGGGTGAGCAGGATCATGCAGAAGAGGCCCACCACCTCCTGGGCAATGGAGTGCTTGGGGATAGAGAGCAGCTCTAGGCTGTCCGTGGTGTTTGACCCTGTCCAGCTCGGCATCCCCCTCCAGGGCTAAGCCAGCAGCTCTGGTGCCTGGGCAGCAAGGGCTCTTCTCCTGTGTCCCAGAGAGGGTAATCCCACCATAGCCATGGCTGCTACCTTCTCTTTGCCTGTTGAGATCAGGATCCAGGTGTGAAGGGAATGAAACAAAATGGAGAAGAGCCACAGAGAAACACAGAGACAACCAGCACACTTCCGAGGTGCTGGAGGAGGGAGATGTAGCCAGTGAAGTCATATCACCCTGGCTCCCCCAGAGCTGGCACCCAGGCTGTCCCCACCTGGCCAGGGATAGCATAGCTAGGTCCTGTGGACAACCATGCCAGGCTGACACCCCGTCCTCCCTCTCCAGTGGCACCAGTATGTCCTGAGGTGGGACAGCACAACTTGCCTGTCCCAACCCCGTTGCTCTGGCCACAGGGGACCCCAGGGTGGGTGGGATTCAGCGCACCTTTTCTCCTGGGGAGATAAGTGATGCTCCTGTCCTCACTGAGGTCCTGCTTGCTGGTGTTGCTCCCGCAGCAGAAGCGGGGCTGCCGGCCCTGCGTGAGGCCACGCTCCCCCTTCCCGCTCCCGTCACCCGCTCGTCATCCTGTTTGCCTGCAGCCCGCCAGCTGCGGATGGCACCAGCTGTCACTCCTGGCGCTGCCTGCGCTGCCTGCACCCGGGGCAGTCCCACGGGGACAGCTGCTGGGTCCTAGCAGCCGGCGGGGGCTCAGGAAGGGGGGATTGGGGTTCCTGAGCCCTGTGCCCCCTGGAATGGCCACCCACTGCACCAGACCTGGTCCTTCCACGGGATCACCTCAGCCCTCAAGTTCCTTGGGCTTGAGGGACAGAGCTGCAGGCAGGTCTGCAGCAAATCATCTCCACTGGCACAGGGTAGCAGAGGGTAACTGATACCCAGGGGCATCAGGGTAACACAGCTGGGTGTTGCCCTTCCCTGGCAGCCTGAGCACCCGGGCATGTGCTCAAGGGGTACATGTGAGCACAGAGAAGGGCTTGGCATGGGTGTCAGGCTGACAGCAGGCATGGCATGAGGCATGGCACTAGAGGGAGGGCAGGCACTCACCCTCAGGATGGATGGATGGATGAATTCCTCCATGCTCCGTCCGGCAGGGCAGCAGATCTTGCTCATCCTCTGTAGCTCTGATGCCACAGGGTGGGCATGAGCCATGTGCCTTGCTAAGGTGATGAGACCAGCTGGCTCTCAAAGACACCAGCTTTCATCTGAAGGCTTCAGCCCCTCTAGAGTCACCCATGCCATCCCTTCAGGGACCCATTGACACTCTTCCCTACAGCACACCCGCCTTGCTGGGCAGGAAAGCAAGAGCACCACCCGGTGCAAGGCACAGCGCTTTTATTCACAGTCAAAGCAAGCTCAGTCCCCGTGCCAGCCTGTCCCTTGCCAAGCCCCAGGTGGGGTGGCTAGAGAATCCAGATCACTGTGCTCTGGGCTGATGGTTGTCACCACCTGGTGCTGGGCCAGGGCCATGGTGCCCCCCAGGCACCCTCAGAAGCGGAGCTGGACAAGGTAGCGGATCCGGCACTGGCTTTCCTTGTAGATGAGGTACTCGCTCTGGCTGAAGGAGGAGTCCTTGTAGGCGGGCATGGGGATGGGCTTGCCCTGGCACACCAGTACCTTCTTGCCATCCAGCAGCACCTCCTCATCCTGTGCAGGATCTGGGCCAGAAGATACCCCAGCACCACATGGAACATGAGATCTGGCCTCTCTCCCCCCTGCCCTGTGTGCACCACAGCCCCGCAGCTGCCACAGCCCTCCTGCCCCCAGCTCACCCGGCTCTGTCCGGCCACAGGCCAGGACACTGTCATAGCCAGCGGGTGGCTGGCACAGCGTGGGGGCATCGCAGGTGATGCGGTAGGGCTTGCCCAGGGCCACCTCTGTCAGGAACATGATGCCAACGTTCTTAGATGTACAGCCCACTGCCATGGGAGAAAAGGGTGGGAATAATAGCACCATCCCTGGTACTCCCATCCGGTTGTGCCCAGGCCACGCTGGAACACAGGGACCAATTGCCATGGCAGGGAAGGGGCTTGGCAAGCCCACAGCTGCCTGGCAGGGGGTACGCAAAGGCGGCCAGGCTCACACAATCCTGTGGGCATCACAAGCAGCCCAGCCCATCCCAGGACCCTCACCATAGCAGGCTGATTTGCTGTTCTCTGAGGCAAAGTAGATGCCCTTGCCCACGCGCCCGCCTGAGTGGGGCATGATGCGCAGCCCACTCTTCAGGATGGCCGCCACCACTGCCACGTTGGTGCCGTGCCAAAGCAGGCGCCGGTGCTCCAGGAGGTCATGGGCCTTGAAACGCTCATCCTGGAGAGATGCAGAGCTAAAGGCTGTCCACAGAGGGACACACATGGGTGCCCAGGACTGCCACCCACCTCCCCAGTGCAGCCCCACTGCCCGGCTGGAGGGGCAGGAGACTGGGTGCCTGTTTGGCCCTGGCCAGCTGGGCTGAATGCCCCCTGGGTGGAGAAGCCCCAAAGCAATCCTAGGGTGCAACCATGGCTTCCCTACTGTGACATGGGGAGAATCACCTCCTCCTCACCTCACCATCTCGGGTCACCTGCCAGATGTTGAGAATGTGGAGTTTGTGCCCAGTCTGCGTCACATAGGTCTGGATCAGCTGCCAAGGGAGAGGCAAAAAAGCTGTGTCACTCTAGCAGCCATCTCAGCAATACCCACGGTCTCACTGGGACAGTAGGAACCTTTGGGGTGCCCACAGGCCTAACATAATTGTTTCCCATTATGGGACACTGTGGCACAAGCAGCACCTGGTATTCCTGGGAAGCTGGGTCAAGCAGGGAGAGCTGGCAGCAGAGCAGGGCGTAATCCTGATCCAGTGGGTGGGCGACTTCTTTCTCCTCCTCCTCCTCCTCCTTCTCTTTCTGTGCCTGCAGGCTCTGTGCAACCTCAATGTCAGCCAGCACCTGGCAGGGACAGAGCAGGGACATCCTTACCACCAGTGCTGGGCACTGTGCTGGGGGACCAGGGCAAGCCCAGCCTCCTGCCAGCAGCTCCTGCCCCACCAGGAAGGGATGTCACACACTACGTGCTCTGGCGTCTCACCAACAGCATGTCCTTCTTGGCACGCAGCAGGTCAGGGGAGCTGATGGTGGGTGGCCGTGCCCGTCCAAAGTTGTGTGGGACGATGGTGTAGAAGCGTGAGGAGAGTTCCTCCAGGCGAGTGGCCGGGGGTGGCTGCTCCCTCAGCGCTGCCTCCAGCTCGTCCAGTGCCTCAAAGCCCCTTGCGATCTGCTGCTTGCTCAGCTTCCCCAGAGGCATCTTCTTCACATCTACAGGGAAGGACAAGGTGAACCCATCCACCCCACTTGCCCTGCAGCTACTTCCAAGAACCTCCAGTATCACCATGGGCCAGTGTGGGCACCCAGCATGGGGTGGCCACAGTCCCATCAGGTGCCAGGATATCAGAGGGGATGCTTTAAAATCCATCAACACCTCTACTCTGTTCACCTCCCCACCTGCACCCCCCAGACCGAGCCCATGCCACCCATCAACCCACCACTTCCTACCAATATTCATGGTCTGCATGGCATCCCGGAACATGTCACTGCTGAAGATGAGGGACACCAGGTCCTGTGTGGCTCTGTCCAAGGTGCAGGGCAGCACCCTCTGCTTGCAGACCTTGTCCCCATCCACGGCATCCACCTGCAGACACCCCACATCAGCTGTGGGCCTGCAAGAGGCTGTGGGAGCACAGCACCAGGGCTGCCAGCATCTGTGAGGAGAGCCTGGTCCTGGTACAGCAGAGCAATGGGCAGGTGCTGCCTCCACTTTCCATGGCCAATGCCACCCAGAAGGCCATGTTTCTCATTTGGGATGCCTTCCCACTCCATCTTAACCCATTAGCCCTAAATCTCTGCCAGCAAGCTGTTTCAGCAAGCACCAAGACCCCTGCTCAAAACCCATCCAATCCTGCTGGCCCTCTTGGATGTCCTGGTGTTCAGTGGGCCAAGAGTGCAGTGAGGACCACCCCACCATGATGCAACCTCTCAGTACTCACCCTGAGTGTAGCCTCCACCTCCTGCCCAGCCCCTGGCTGCACCTCAATGAGCGTGTACTTCCCCGGCTGGGCAATGAAGTTCTCCCTTGTTGCCCAGCTGTTCTTGGTCTTCTCCTGAAACTTCTTCTCAAAGACCTTCTTGGCAGCTTCCAGGGAGGCACAGGGCATGAGCTTGGACTGGCCCACCTCTCCCTGGCAGTGGACAACAGTGGTCAGGACCTCCTCTGCACCCCTGCTCCACCAGGCCCATGCCAGTGGAAGCAGGCAGGAACAAGGGGGGCTGTGACAGCAAGGCTGTGGGGCAGTGAGCAGGAATGTGCTGAGCCACCAGCTCAGGAAGACACCCCAGGACTCCTTGCTGGGCTGTCACACTCACATTCACTGCAGGGACAGGTGCCACATGCCCCACACAGGCTGACTATGTTGTGTGGGAATCCTTGAAGCTCCTCCATTAAAGTGCTACAGCAGGACACTTGGGTGCTTGCTTTGGGACCAGGGACCACCAGGCTCACCCTCAATTTTTGGGGTTCTGAAGGCAGGGTGGGGACAGCTGAGGTGCAGGGGATGAGCAATGCCCAGGTGGACTCACCACACGGCCCCAGTGGCTCCAGACACTGTAGGCACCATCGTGCTCAAGGAGCTGGATGATGTAGAACTTGTTGTTGTTGGCATTGATGTTGGTCTGGTTCAGGGTGCAGTCATAGTCCTCATAGACCTATAGTGAGGGACATGGCCTGGGCTGGTACCTGGGAGCTTTCGGGGAAGGAGGGGGTGCGCAGAGGTCCCAGTGGGAACACACTGGGGTCTGCAAGGAAAACTGGGGCTGACCCTGTGCCAACAGGGCAGAGGCTGGTCTGAGACTCCCCCACCCTTCCCACCCCTGCCCCTCTGAGTACCTGAGGCCCGCTCTCACCCGGGCACCCAGTGCCGTGCTCAGGGGGCACAGCCCATCAATTGTGGCAGGGCGCTTCTCCTTGGGAGCAGTTTTCAGGGTTGCCAAGGTGGAGCTCCAGGTGTCGTCCTCCTCTTCCCGTTTCAGTTTCTTTTCCCTGCTGTCTGGCTGCTCCGAGGAAGAAGCCTGGCGCTTGTAAGCCATGAATGAGCCCCCCGCTGCCACCAGGTCAGCACAGCCTTAATCCCCCAGAAAAATCCTTGGAGACAGCACAGGGAGAGGTGAGAGATGCCATGCTGCCCTTCCCAGAAAGTCCAGTGGCTGTGCCTTGTTTTCCCTATGCCTTCAGCCTACAGCAGGGCTGGAGAAGGGGATGATGCAAACTGTCTCAATCTTGTCCCTGTGTCCAGGGTGGGTGGAAGAACTTCTCAGCACCCTTCAGCCCTTGAGGGACCCCAAAGTGGAAAGAGCCCAGTGACACAGAGCCGAGGGGGAGCACAGGGGAGCTGTGCCCCCACCTCCCCTCACTAGGAGTGTGTCCCCAGGGCTCGGCCAGCTCTGTGCCCCCAGGGATATGCAAGAGGGGAAACAATACAACAACACACCCCAAGACACTAAATGTCATCCCCGCAGTTCCTATCAAGAGCAGCGAAATGCTGTGATTTTGGCAGGAGGGGGCTCGGACAGCCC